ACCACTGGAAAAACCATAGCCTTGATTAGACAGACCTTTGTTGACAAAGTAATGTCTCTGCTTTTGAATATGCTGTCTAGGTTGGTCATAACTTTCCTTCCAAGGAGCAAGCGTCTTTTACTTTCATGGCTGCAATCACCATCTGCAGTGATTTTGGAGCCCAAAAAATTAAAGTCTTCCACTGTTTTCCCATCTATTTGCCATGAAGTGATGGGATCGGATGCCATGATCTTAGTTTCCTGAATGCTGAGCTTTAAGCCAACTTTTTCACTCTCTTCTTTCCCTTTCATCAAGAAGCTCTTTAGTTCTTCTTCACTTTCTGCCATAAGGGTGGTGTCATCTGCATATCTGAGGTTATTGGTATTTCTCCTGGCAATCTTGATTCCAGCCTGTGCTTCCTCCAGCCCTGCGTTTCTCATGATGTACTCTGCATATAAGTTAAATAAGCAGGGACAATATACAGCCTTGACATACTCCTTTTCCTATTTGGAACCAGTCTGTTGTTCCATGTCCAGTTCTAACTGTTGCCTCCTGACCTGCATACAGGTTTCTCAAGAGGTAGGTCAGGAGGTCTGGTATTCCCATCTCTTTCAGAATTTTCCACAGTTTATTGTGATCCATACAGTCATAGTGTCCCCAAATACAGAAACTTGGTGACCTCACACAAGTCACAAAACCTGTCTGGGCATCGGGTTCTTCATTTGTAAAACAGAGACACACGGTGTCTCAAAGTCAATTCCCACTTGACAGTCCCATCATCAAGCACAAGGATGTCAATTTCCTCCCACTTCTTATTTTTCACTGCTTTGATAATTGCCATCCAAGTGGGTATGAAGTGGCAATGCATTGTGGTTTTTGACTTATACTTCCCTCGTGATTAGTGATGTTGAGCACCTTTTCATGTGCTTATTGGTCCCTTGTATATCTTCTTTGGAGAAATGTCTATTCAAATCTTTGGCCATTGTTGAAGTGAGTTGTTTGATTTTTTTGTTGTTGGGTTATAAGAGTTCTCTGTATATTCTGAATGTTAATCCTTTGATAGATACATGATTTGTAAATATTTTCTCCTATGGTTTATCTTTTAACTCTCTTGATGTGTTGCTTTATTGGCACACACAGAGTTCTAATTTTGACAAAGTCCATTTTTATCTATTGTATTACTGTCGTTGTTGCCTGTTCTTTTCAAGTCATACTTAGGAAACCATTGCCAAACCCAAGATCATAGACATTCGCCTATGTTTTTCTGTAATAGTGAATTTCTTCTGAATGAACTGTACGCTTTAAAATGGTTAAAATGGGCTACTCTCAAAAAACAAAATGACAAATGTTGGTAAGGATGTGGAGAAATCAAACAACAAATGTTGGCATGAATGTGGAGAAACTGGAACTCTTGTACACTGTTGGTGGCCTGTAAAATGGTGCTGCCACCGTGGAAAACTGTATAGAGAGTCCTAAAAAAATTAAAAATAGAACCACTGTGTAATCCAACAATTCCATTTCTGAGTGTATATCCCAAGAATAGAAAGTAGGTTCTCAAAGGGATATTCACATACCCATCTTCATAGCAACACTATTCACAGGAGTCAAGAGGTGAAAGCAACCTAAATGTCCATTGATGGATGAATGGACAAACAAAACATGACATTTATACACAATAGAATGCTATTCAGCCTTCAAAACTGAGGAAATTCTGACACGTGCTACAACACCGATGAACCTTGAGGACATTACGTTAAGCAAAACAAGCCAGTCACAAAGAAGACGATACTATATAAGTTAAACTCATATAAGTATTACTTTACTTACTTACATGAGGTGTCTTCTAGGGTAACTAATGGGCCTGCCTGGTGGCTCAGGTGGTAAAGAATCTGCCTGCAATGCAGGAGACCCAGGTTTGATCTTCCTGGGTTGGGAAGATCCCCTGGAAAAGGAAGTGGCTACCCACTCCAATATTCTTGCCTGGAGAATTCCATGGACAGAGGAGCCTGGTGAATACAGTTCATGGGGTCACAAAGAGTCAGACACAATTGAGCAACTTACACTTTAATTGAGCAACTTTAATATGAGGTATCTAAACTAGCCAAATTTATAGTGCCTGAAGCAGAATGGTGGATACCAGAGCTTGGATATATGAGGAAAATGGGACTTGTGTTTAATGCATACAGAATCTTAGATTTGAAAGATTAAAATGTTCTGGAGATCTGTTTCACAACAATGTGATATGCTGGACACTACTGAACTGTACAGATAAAAATGGTTAAAATGGTAAATTTTGTGTGGTGCATATTTTACCACAATAAAAAGTGTTTATCTGGTCTCAACTCATAAACAGGATTGAGACTGGATTAAAAACCTCATAAACAGATTTTTAATAAGGAAATGAGATTATTCTGCAAACTACAGCCCGTCTTGGAACTTTGAGGTGAAGGGCTCCTGACGGTGAATTTGACTTGGTCTACTGTTCTTTAGAAACCTTTATCAAATGGAGCCTAAGTGTACTTTCCTTTCTGTGTTTTCACCCTCTGATCCTGATTCTACCTCTTGAGACTACAGAAGCAGTCTACTCCCTCGGCCGGGGGTTGGAGGCAGCTGCCGTGACGGCAGTAGCAATGCCTGACTGCCCGTCTCCCTGTGTGGCAGAGGCCACACCGTCCAGTTCCGAGGACAGTACCTTCTGTCGTGGCTCCTGCTCCCCAGTGGACACACAGGGAAAGCAGGGCTTGCGAGACAAGCCGCCTGGTCAAGCTCATTACGCATCTAAGGAATAACTGGGCGGGAATGTGAACGCAGGTGTCCCTCCCTCCCAAACCCATGTTTCTGACGCTAGGCCAGGTTGCCTCTTAGCCAGCTTCCTCCTGAGCCTTCTCCTCTATGACCCCTTGGTCCTTTCTCAGAGGCCTTTGCTCTGCACCCCTTTATCAGCCCATTCTTCTTCTTGCAGTAAACACCAGATAAGCTCCCATCAAGACAGAGGCAAGCCCTTCCTCTCAATACAGACACTGTTCATCTCCTCGATGATCCCCGCTGGACACAAACCCTACAAGGCCCAGTGTCCCCACAGAGGGGGGGGTCCTTGGCAGAAATCCGTCCCAAGCCCCTGAAGACCTCATCCCCCACCTCCTCCGCTTGCTAAAAGGAGAAGCCCTCCCCATTTGTCTCTCCTGCACTATTTCCTCCCGGGAGTTCCTGCAAAGGAAGACGAGGCAATCTCAGGATTAACAGCCTGTTTGTTTAAAGGGTTTATTACTGGCTCTTAATGCTATTTTGACAGGTGAAAGTGAGTCAATGATAGCTGGAAATAGCTCTGGCTGCATCGTTTCTTCCAGGTGGTTGCCCATTCCCCAGCCAAGGGGCTTTTTCTCTCTTTACCAACAGGCAGTTCATCTCCTTTCCTTATATCCTCTGACCTCCAAATCACATAAAGACCTCCTTCCAGGAAGAAATGACATTAAAGGCATGGAGACTGAACCGATGAGTTGGGGTTGCTGCGGCAGCCCCGCCCTGGGAGGGGATGAGCTGAGCTGAAAGTTACTCAGTCATGTCTGGCCCTTTGTGACCTCATGAACGGTAGCCCGCCAGGCTCAGCTGTCCCTGGAATTCTCCAGGGAAGAATACTGGAGTGGGTGACCATTCCCTTCTCCAGGGGATCTTCCGGACCCAGAGGTTGAACCTGGGCCTCCTGCATTGCGGGATGATTCTTTATTATCTGAGCCACCAGGGAAACTCCCTGTGGGGGGCGGGGGTGAAGTGGGCGCTAAAGGGAGGCTTGACAGGTCAGCCTCCAGGATGAGGGATGTGGCCCCAGTGAGCCCTGGTCCATGCAGGTATCGCTCTGCTCCATCGGCCATGAATGTCTCTCACCGCGTGTTTCTCTGGGTGTTTCTTGGGAGCAATGAGTTTCTGTACTGATGCCTACTCTAATGAGACCAGTGTGGGTCACAGGCTTGGGTGCCTCGAGGGGTCACCTTTATGAGAATAGCATTAGTCCTTTCTGGGTGGCTCAGAGGGCTTCCCAGGTCACCCCAAGTTAGGCTAAGGCCCCAGTGAAGATCATTCCAATATGCCTCAGAAACTGCCTTACGACACCAGAGCAAGACCGTGAACTGCCAGGAGACTGGATGAATCATTAGATGCAGGACCGAGATGGGGGTCAGGAGTGTGGCGGGGTATATTTGTGATAGACATCTCATACTTAAGATGTCCAAGAAAAAGCTCTGTTTCTCAACATGCCCAAACGCACACAAACTTCCCCCAAATTCTCCCATCACAGAAAATGACACCACCGACCAAGCATCTGCTCCACCTCTAATCTCGACAGTCACCTTGGATCTTCTCTTTCTCTCACCCGTTGAGGTCCTTAAACAGAATCCATTGGCAAGTCCTGCCGCCTCTATTCCAAATGGCTTCCCTGGTGGCTTAGAGAGCAAAGAACCTGCCTGCAATGCAGGAGACCCAGGTTCTATCCCTGGGTCGGGAAGATCCCCGGAGAAGGGCATGGCAACCCACTCCAGTGTTCTTGCCTCGAAAATCCCATGGCAGAGGAGCCTGGCGGGCTGCAGTCTGTGGCTTTCACAAAAGAGTTGGACATGACTGAGCAACTAATACTTAGACGCTACTCTAAATGTTCTAGCAAATCTGGCCACACTGTGGCACATTCACGCCCAGCATCTCAGTCTAAGCCACTGTAAGTCCCAGCCTGGACTCCTGCAAGAACTTCCCAACAAATATTCCTGCTTCTGTTCTTGCCCCCTTATGGTTCCTTCTCTGCTCAACAGCTGTCGGAGGATCATTCTCCACGAGGCTCTCTGGGCAAGCAATACCCCTTGGTCAACACCAGCATGCCACATGCTGCCCATCTGCCGACCCACTTCTCCAGGACACGAGGCTCAGAAAGGCCAGGCAACTTGCAGAAGTTAGACAACTAGTGAGTGGGGGCTGCAGACGCAGCTGGGAGAGGCATACGCCCCCCCCCACCCCTCCCGCACCCCGGGGCCGCTCACCCGCGGACGGCGTGCAGCAGGCGCAGAGAGGGGTATGCAGTACGCACGTTGACGCGGTGCTTCAAGATGAGCTCGTTGACCCACTCGACACGCTGCTTGCCGCCCCTGGCCATGAAGGCGGGGATCCACAGGATGCTGCCGTTGAGGCTGTGCAGCCGCTGCAGCAGCTTCTCTCGCCACGTGGCGTTAACCAAGTCCTCGAAGGCCCGCTGGACGACGGAGGGGTTCATGGTCACCAGGTCAGTCTTGAGCCCCACATCCCGGGCATACTCCTGCACGGGGGCCAGGTTGCACCTGCCGGACGAAAAGGCAGCAATGAATGACCCTTCAGGGAAAGCTGAGGCAGCACTGCGTATCCTTAACTCTATCCATCCTTTACTTCCCTTGCTTCCTCCTCATCTCCAAAGACCCAGGGCACCTTCCTGCACTTTCTGGTCCCTTCTGGCATCCCTATTTCTTCTTCTCCTGCTACGTATATTTATCAGGTCCTTAGCATATTTGTGGGCTTCCCAGCTGACTCAGCAGTGGAAGAGTCCTCTTGCAGGAGATGCGAGTTTGATACCTGGTTCGGGAAGATCCCCTGGAGGAGGAAATGGCAACCCACTCCAGTATTCTTGCCTGGAGAATCCCACAGACAGAGGGGCCTGATGGGCTACAGCCCATGGGGTCGCAAAGAGTCAGACACAACTGAGCACACTCTCTCCAGCACATTCACAGAAACTTGCTGGGCCCAGGAGTGGTACAGTGCCTGGCTTCTGGTGCTCAGGATCTTGTAGAAGAGCCCTCAGCCCACATGATGGCCATGCTATAAGCAAGTGTGACCTGGTCACATCAGGTGACAGAGTGTGGGCTCCAAAGACACACTCTGGGTTCAGAATTCAGCTCTGATACTTTCTACCTGGGCTCCCCAGGTGGCGCTAGTGGTAAAGAACCTGCCTGCCAATGCAGGAGACACAAGAGATGCAGGTTCAGTCCCTGGGCAGGGAAGATCCCCTGGAGGAGGAAATGACAACCCACTCCAGTATTTTTGCCTGGAGAATCCCATGGACAGAGGAGCCTGGCGGGCTACAGTCCATAAAGTCACCCAGAGTCAGATACAACTGAAGCGACTTAGTACATTCTACCTGTGTGACTCCAGGTCACCTGCTCAACCTCTCTGCTTTCTGAGAGCTTCCCCACTGCCTAAGGAACAGCCACAACAGCTTCTGTGATGGAGATCTCAGCAGGACCCCCTCCTAGGGATGAAAGCAGTGCCTAGACATCCATGGTACTTCGAAACATCCCTGCTGGACCACAGGGAGAGCGCAGTACATGTGTAGTTACCAGCATCCTCCCAGGGAGGAGGCGCTTCGGGGGGTCTTCCGGAGGTGGGAACCGTGGCGGGAAGTCCAGGAGGATGGACGAGCAGAAGCCCGTTTGTGGATGAGGCTCCTCAGGAGAGTTTCTCCAGCTTGCAAGAGCTGGAGAACCACCTCAGGCACTGGTTAAAAATACAGACTCCCCAGGTCCCTCACCTGGAGATCTGGATTCAGCAGGTGAGTTGAGGAATTGATAGCTATTTTTACAAGTTCTTCAGCTGAGTCTTATAACCGGGCAGCTTAGGAAACATCACACTGTGGCCCCAGTGAATGTATCCCTGGGGCATAGAGATGTGGACCCGTGCTGGTACGTAGGGGAAGGCTGGTGATCTGGTCTGAGAGAGGCACATTGTGCAGTGGGGATGAGGCTGGAGCGGCAAGCACAGTGAGATGGCAAAGGGCCTGTGTGTCGGGGGTGCTGCCATCTGGCATCAAACCGGGGGTGTGTACACAGCCGGGCCATTTGACTTTTGTCCCTAAAGACCACACAAGGCGGCCCCACAGACACGCAGATCTGCAAGAGCCATGGAGTCCAGGTCAAAGGACCACCACACGTTGCTTCAAGTGGCTCCCTCTTTTCTAAGTGTGTGTGGACCACTGCGGATGTGGGTCCCAGGAGAGGCAGAGCAGGCTGTGGCTGGGCCTCTCCAGGTGTGGTCCACGCATCGGCACAAGGGTATTAGTCAGGCCTCACCCCAGCCCTGATGACCCTGCCTCTTGATAAGCTCAGGTGGTTCATATACTCATTGAAGTTCAGAGACTACCGGCCCAACTACCCATTTTACAGATGATGAAACCGAGGCCCAAAAAGGGGAGTGACACACTCTGAGTCAAGTGACAAAACGGTAGCAGAGCCAAGACCAGACTCCGGACACCACGCTGCTCATCTCTCTGTGCAAGTGTCCAAAACAAAATGTTGACTAGAACCTGCCGCGGCCTCTGGAAATCTTGGGGCCGGGCTGGGTGGAGCAAAGAAAGATCACCGTGAAAATCAGGTCACCTCTGCCCTGGTCCCCAGGAGGTGACTGGTCCCTCTGCATCTTTAATATTCTTCCTACCAAGGCCTTCCCTGGTGGCGCAGGTGATAAATAATCTGCCTGCAATGCAGGAGACCCTGGTTTGATCCCTGGGTTGGGAAGATCCCCTGGAGGAGGGCATGGCAACCCACTCCAGTATTCTTGCCTGGAGAATCCCATGGACAGAGGAACCTGGTGGGCTACAGTCCATGGGGGTCACAAAGAGTAAGCAACTAACACTTTCACCTACCCTCACCTCTTCTCTGGCTTCTGATCAGACAAACCTGCCACTTCCCTCAGCTTCTCCCCTCCGTCTCCAATCTTTAGACTCGAGGGCTTTGAAAAAAGGGACTGAGCCACCGGGGATGCCAGGCACAGACAGAACCAGGCAAAGGATAACAAAACAAGGGTGGGTGCCGGGCCGCGGCGGTGCGCCCATCACAGCGGACAGAGGAGTCAGGACACCATCTGGTCCCACGTCCTGAGGTCCAGGGGGCTCTGTGATAGGGCCACTTCCCAAAGCCGAGGACAAGGCTCTCTTTGCATCAAGACGGGCCCAACAGAAACGTGAGACACGGTTCCGCCAGGGCCGGGGTGTGTTTGGGATGAAATTTGAGGCTCTGTGTGCCCTACTTGTGATCAGGGGACAGCAAGGCCTTGATTCTGAGTCTGGGTTGGGGGGTCAGATGTCAGGGCCATGGGTAACTGGGTCCAAATGTGTCCCCAGGTGACTGGAAAATGAGAGCTGATACTTTGGAGAGAGTACAGTCATGTACAAATCCAAATTTCTCTGTTGCCCCTCACTTCCCAGGTTTTGTCTACAGGGTAATAAAGATACTAGTAGCATACACCTTAAAAGAGTTTTATAAGCTTGGACCAAAAACTGGCCAAGAGACTATTTTTTTTTTTTACCGACATTTTGTACTGGGCTCTATCCAGGGGTCAGCAAATTTTTCTGTAAGAGGCCAGATATTATTTTAGGCTTGTGGGCTGTATGCTGTCTCTGTTTTGATTCTTCAACTCTGCCCAACTAATCCACTGCCATGAGAAAACAGCCATTGAGGATACGAGAATGAATGAGCTTGGCTGTTGTTTTAATAAAACTTTATTGATAAAAACAGGCTGTGGGACAGAGTCTGCCTGCTTCTGTTCGAGATCAGCGATACTCAGTCTTGGTTAAACATCAGAAGCCCTAAGGCTCCCTGGGCTCTGACCCTTCAGATGGATTTAAATCGTCTGGGGCACAGCCTGGACTTTGGGACTTTTCAAGGCTACCCGAGCAATTCTAATGCACAGCGATCTAAGCCAACTAACCGGGTTTCAGCCTCTTGGGATAACTGGCAATGCCTGCCACTTTGGGTCCATAGTACCTATTGCGGTTACCTGATGACAAAGCTGTGGGTGTCAATCTCCTGCCCACAGCCGCTGTTCAGCAAGACCCCGGAGTTGCCCACGATGGCACACGTCCCGAAGTGCTTGTTTTTCAGTGGAGACGTTCTGGGGAGGAGCTCATAGAGGTTCTGGGACACGTTCATTGTGCTGTCTCGGTCGAAGATGTAATGAATAATGTCTCCAGGTTTCAGGGTCCCCTTGAGGACAGAAATGTCCTTTTCAGCATCCAAGAACTTTAAGATTTGCTTCCTGCAAAAGCCAAACACACATTAGGAAAAAGTCTGCTGTTGCCAGCTGCCTTTTGCCCACCTGGCTTTTCCTCTCCTCGGTCACCCTGCAGAGCTGCCGCAGACCCGCACCCAGGTGAAGTGAGAGGTCAGATGCCCTCAGAAGAGGTTCCAGGCAGAGACTCGCAAAATGGCCCAGGGCCAATCTGGTGGCTGTGCTCACACCCGCTTTCTAAGAGAAGACACCCGCCCTGGGAAATGCTGTCATTAGGACTCAATGAGAGCTCATCATGGAGGGACCTGGAAGGGTGACCCATCGAGCTGGTTTGCCTAGGAAAGCATGGTCTTAGACTGAAAGCTCTGTGCCCCAGGGGCAAACTGTGTCCCTGAACCTTGGGCAAACCCAGACTGCAGTCATCCTATGTCAGACCCCCTTCTCTGAGCGGGATTCAGGGTCACCATCTGACAAGCAGTCCTGAGTTGGAACTGGAAACCAAGATGACACGTGTCCCTCCTCCTCAGAGCCCGTTTTCCTCTCTGGCAGCCGTGTCTGGGCACAGGGGCCTCCCAGACGGCAGGGGGGGTGTCAGCCACTCCCCCTCGGTGGCCCGAGAACACGGCCTGAAGTCTCTATGCTGATCTGTTCTGTGCTGTGGGCTCTCTGGCCCTCCTCACTGCTATCTAGCTTGGAGTTTGTCAACTGCGATTTATGAAGCCCAAAAAGTTCTGGTCCCATAGAGCAGCACTGCTTTGTGTTGAGGACAAAATAAGAGGATGCTCTCTCAGTTCCAGGGTGAGTTCTGGGGGGAAAGTTCAAGAATCATCTAGCAAAGCACATAAATGGGATAGGATGTGGTCAGAGAAGGGACCAGAAGCCTCTCATAATCCCCTGGGGAATTTTATCCCAAGAAGTTGGGGATCTTAACTGGAGGCTTTATTATAAAAACTGTATACTGTCCCAAGGGCTTCCCTGGAGGTTCAGATGGTAATGAGTCCACCAGTTAGTACAGGAGACCTGGGTTCAATTCCTGGGTCAGGAAGATCACCTGGAGAAGGGAATGTCTTCCCCCTCCAGTATTCTTGCCTGGAGAATCCCATGGACAGAGAAGCCTGGCAGGCTATACAGTCCGTGGGGTTGCAAAGAGTCGGACATGACTGAGTGACTAACACACACACACACTGCCCCAAATATTTTTAGACATGATTCAAGTCATCAGGAGAAGGAAATCCGGTACCCAGATCAGCTGGAATTAACTTCACTTCCTATAGCAAGCGAGCCCCCATCTAGAACAGATAGGATGAGATTGTTCTTCATTTCCACCAAGCTCCAGAGGGACAGGACCATCACACATTTTGCAAATGTAAGGATTTGCAAGGTGGCTGCCCCATTGGACAGATGGTAACACTGATCCCCAAGAGTCTGTGTTCTCTGAGATGGTCACAGCCTGTGATGTATCCCGGTGGGGTACACATTTAATCACTTGAGGAACCATAAAGAATTCAGAAGGTCCAGGTTGATGCCTGAGAAATCCTGATTCTCAGAATGGCCCGGGTCTCAGCACGGCCCGGGTCTCAGCACGCTTTGAAAGGCTCCACAGGGGACTCTTAGGTGGGTCCAGGTTTGGGAGCCTTTGGCATTGCCCAGGGGTGGCTAGAATGCTTGACAGGGCATGATGCTCTTCTTCCATTGGTCTTGCCTTATTAATGACCTGAATCTCATGTTTTCATGCATGGGAAACCACCCTTGATGAATAATTTCTATCTCTTAATGGAAAACAGAGGCATTGTTTTTATTTACTGAACCTTTACCAAAGATGACGCAATTGACAAACTAATATGGCTTGGAAATTGCTGAAACGTTTGCAATTGCTTACCCCAGAGTATTTAAAAGCAAAGAGCCTCCAGAAAGCCCATAGAGAAATTCCTCTGTGCCTGAATTAATTTCTAACTAATTATGAGAAATTACTACCAATTATTAAACAGCATTCCAAATCACTCACAGAATCTTTATTATGAATAATGTTGGTGACTAATTGAAGGAAGATGAAGGAGATCCTTTTCCCCGCTGGGTGAAGGCACGTTGTTCCTGCCGGGGTGGCTGTGCGTTTGCAGGCTCCCTATGAAGGCCACAGTCTGTTCTTCTCCAAAGGGGTGGGGATGTCCTTTCTCTACCCGGTGGTGGGAGAAAGGGTAAGCGGAGATCACAGGTGGGCTTGTTCTGGCAGAAAGCTTTCACTCACAGCTGGTGCACATGTCTGCTCAGTCACTCATCATGCCTGCCTCTTGAGACCCCGTGGACTGTAGCCCCCAGGCTCCTCTGTCCATGGGATTTTCCAGGCAAGAATACTGGAGTGGGTTGCCATTTCCTTCTCCAGGGGATCTTCCCAACCCAGAGATTAAACCTGCATCTCCTGCATTGGCAGGCAGTTTCTTTACCACTGAGCCACACTGGAGTGAATGAAAGTGAAAGTGTTAGTTGCTCAGTCATGTCTGACTCTGTGACCTCATGGACCATCGCTCACCAGGCTCCTGTCCATGAGATTTTCCAGGCAAGGATACTGGAGTGGATTGCCATTCCCTTCTCCAGGGGATCTTCCCCACCCAGTGAAGGAATCTGGGTCTCCTCAATTGCAGGCAGATTCTTTATCATTTGAGCCACCAGGTAAGCCTGGGGTGAATAGGGGCTCCCCCATATACATGGGGCTTCCCTGGTAGCTCAGCTGGTAAAGAATCCACCTGCAATGCAGGAGACCCTGGTTCGATTCCTGGATTGGGAAAGTCCCCTGGAGAAGGGACAGGCTACCCACTCTAGTATTCTTGGGCTTCCCTTGTGGCTCAGCTGGTAAAGAATCCGCCTGCAGTGTGGGAGACCTAGGTTCGATCCCTGGGTTGGGAAGATCCCCTGGAGAAGGGAAAGGCTACTCACTCCAGCATTCTGGCCTGGAGAATTCCTTGGGCTGTATAGTCCATGGGGTCGCAAAGAGTCAGACACGACTGAGCGACTTTCACTTAACTTTCACTTTCCTAACCCTTGAGAACTGTGAGGTGCTATATTTGGAAACAGCATCTTTGCAAATGTAATTAAATTAAGGATCTCGAGGTCATCTTGATTACCCCGCTGGGCCTAAATCCAACGACAAGTGTCCTTATCAGAGACAGGAGAGGGGACACACAGACACAGAGGGAAAGGCTCTGTGAAGACAGGGCAGAGACGAGTGGCTCAGCCACACGATGGGGAGCGCCTGGAGTCAGCAGAAGCTGGAAGGGTGAAGACACTGTCTCCCCTGGAGCCTTCAGAGGTTGCACTCACAATTCTGGCCCCCAGAACAGTAAGAGAATGCATTTTCTTTTGTTTGAAGCCACCAAGTTGGTAGAAATTTGTTACAGCAGCCTCAGGCCTAGTGCTCCCCAGGGCCACTGACCGGGGGTCAGTAAGGGCAGGCTGGGAGCTGTTGGGATGTAAGACGAAGGCCGGGCCCCCCACCACAGGGATCTCAGAAGAGACCCTGAATGAGGGGGGCAGAAGGGAGGTGATAGGGGTCCACTCCTTCAGGCGCTTTGTCAGCTGCCAGCCCTCCCAGCTCATCCTCCCTACTCCCCACACTTCCTCAGGTCCCAAAGCCAAGCTTCAAGAACCAGGGGGTGGGGGGCATTTTGACAGTGAGCCCACCTCGAGTGGGCAGCTCCCTACTCTGTGTGGTGGCCCTTCTGGCGGCTAAGGTTCAGGCTGACTCCCGGGCCCCGCCTCCCGTTCTCGGCTTCCCCGTGATGTCAGAGCTTTCCCGCCTGGTCCTGGCTACCACACCATCATCCCCTCCTCCTCTCCTCCCGAGGGGTGCTCCAGCAACACTGAGCACAGACACCAGACTTTAGGCAGCAGCGTGGCACGCCTGGCAAACTCCTGAGTATCCCTCAACACCCACTGCTCCTGGCAAGTGTCTCCTGGCCGGCCCTCTTAGCCCCCTTACCAAATGAAGCGTTCAGCTCAGTAGGAGCTTTCCCACCTATTTCTATGAGGTGACACAGCCCACTGTCAGTATCTCACGGCCATGCTCTAGCTTTGGGACACTTGGTCTCCTGTGAGCAGGTCTGATTCACGTCAGCTCCCAGCACAACGCCTGCAAGAGAATGGATGCTGCACTGACCAGTCTGTGCCGGTCTACCGCGGCTCTGTCCAAGCCAAGTGGCCACCGTGCCAACCTCGGAATCCCTCCCCCACAGCTCCCCATTCCCACCGCCCAACAATGACCACATCACTCTGGAAACATCGCTCCTCAAGGATCAGGACAGGAGGGGCTTCCCTGGGGGCCCAGTGGTGGTGAATCCACAGGAGACACGGGTTTGATGCCAGATCTGGGATGATTCCCCATGCCAAGGGGCAGCCGAGCCTGTGCACCACGACTGCTGAGCCCAGGCTCTGGAGCCCGGGAACGTCGACTGCTGAGTTCACACGTGGCGAGCACTGAGCCCACATGTGGTGACTACTGAGCCCACATGCGGTGACTACTGAGCCCACACATGATGACTACTAAGCCCACATGTGACAGCTACTGAGCCCACGTGTCATGACTACTGATCCCACATGCGGTGAGCACTGAGCCCACACGTGATGACTGAGCCCACACTTGATGACTACTGAGCCCACATGTGGTGAGCACTGAGCCCACACGTGGCAGCTACTGAGCCCACACATGACTACTGAGCCCCACACGTGATGACTACTGAGCCCCACACGTGATGACCACTGAGCCCACACATGATGACTACTGAGCCCACACGTGGTGACTACTGAGCTCACATGTGGTGACTACTGAGCTCACACGTGGTGACTACTGAGCCCACACATGATGACTACTAAGCCCACATGCGGTGGGCACTGAGCCCACACGTGATGACTACTGAGCCCACACATGATGACTACTGAGCCCACATGTGGTGACTACTGAGCCCACACATGGTGACTACTGAGCTCACATGTGATGACTACTGAGCCCACACACAGTGAGCACTGAGCCCACACACGATGACTACTGAGCCCACACGTGGTGACTACTGAGCCCCACACGTGATGACTACTGAGCCCACACATGATGACTACTCTGCCCACACGTGGTGACTACTGAGCTCACACGTGGTGACTACTGAGCTCACACGTGGTGACTACTGAGCCCACACGTGGTGACTACTAAGCCCACATGCGGCGGGCACTGAGCCCACACATGATGACTACCGAGCCCACACATGATGACTACTGAGCCCACATGTGGTGACTACTGAGCCCACACATGGTGACTACTGAGCTCACACGTGATGACTACTGAGCCCACACACAGCGAGCACTGAGCCCACACACGATGACTACTGAGCCCACACGTGGTGACTACTGAGCCCACACATGGTGACTACTGAGCCCACACATGATGACTACTGAGCCCACACGAGGTGACTACTGAGCCCACACGAGGTGAGCACTGAGCCTGCACGTGGTGAGCACTGAGCCTGCACGTGGCGACTACTGAGCCCACACGTGGCGACTACTGAGCCCACACGCGGCGAGCACTGAGCCCACACATGATGACTACTGAGCCCACACAATGACTACTGAGCCCACACATGATGACTACTGAACCCACACACAGCGAGCACTGAGCCCCACATGCAATGACTACTGAGCCCCACATGTGATGACTACTGAGCCCACATGTGGTGAGCACTGGGCCCACACATGATGACTACTGAGCCCACGCATGGCAACTACTGAGCCCACACGTGGCGAGCACTGAGCCCACACACGATAACTACTGAGCCCACACACGGCGACTACTGAGCCCACACAATAACTACTGAGCCCACACGTGGCGAGCACTGAGCCCACACACAATAACTACTGAGCCCACACATGGCGACTACTGAGCCCACACAATAACTACTGAGCCCACACATGGCGACTACTGAGCCCACACAATAACTACTGAGCCCACACGTGGCGAGCACTGAGCCCACACACAATAACTACTGAGCCCACACATGGTGACTACTGAGCCCACACAATAACTACTGAGCCCACACATGGCGAGCACTGAGCCCACACACGATAACTACTGAGCCCACACTTGGTGACTACTGAGCCCACACATGGCGACTACTGAGCCCACACATGGCGAGCACTGAGCCCACACACGATAACTACTGAGCCCACACTTGGTGACTACTGAGCCCACACATGGCGAGCACTGAGCCCACACACGATAACTACTGAGCCCACACATGGCAACTACTGAGCCCACACAATAACTACTGAGCCCACACGTGGTGAGCACTGAGCCCACACACGATAACTACTGAGCCCACACAATAACTACTGAGCCCACACATGGTGAGCACTGAGCCCACACATAGTGACTACTGAGCCCACACGTGGCGAGCACTGAGCCCACATGTGATGACTACTGAGCCTACATGCAGCAAGCACTGAGCCCACACATGATAACTACTGAGCCCGCATGTGGCAGCTACTGAGCCCCATGCGATGACTACTGAGCCCACACTTGGTGACTACTGAGCTCACACGTGGTGACTGCTGAGCCCACACGCAGCAGCTACTGAGCCCGCACGTGATGACTACTGAGCCCACAAGTGGCAGCTACTGAGCCCACACACGGTGAGCACTGAGCCCACATGTGATGACTGAGCCCACACGTCATGACTACTGAGCCCACACATGATGACTACTGAGCCCACACGCAGCAGCTACTGAGCCCACACGTGGCGACTACTGAGCCCACACATGGTGAGCACTGAGCCCACACATGATGACTACTGACCCCACACACAGCGAGCACTGAGCCCCACATGCGATGACTACTGAGCCCACACGTGGTGACTACTGAGCTCACACGTGGTGACTGCTGAGTCCACACATGATGACTACTGAACCCACACACAGCGAGCACTGAGCCCCACATGCGATGACTACTGAGCCCCACACGTGATGACTACTGAGCCCACACTTGGTGACTACTGAGCCCACACAATAACTACTGAGCCCACACGCGGCGACTACTGAGCCCACATGTGGTGAGCACTGAGCCCACACATGATGACTACTGAACCCACCCGCGTCGACTACTGAGCCCACACATGGTGACTACTGAGCCCACATGTGGCAAGCACTGAGCCCACATGTGATGACTACTGAGCCCACACGTGGCAGCTACTGAGTCACATGTGATGACTACTGAGCCCCACACGCAATGACTACTGAGCCCACACACGATGACTACTGAGCCCACACGTGGTGAGCACTGAGCCCACACATGATGACTACTGAACCCACATGCGGCGACTACTGAGCCCACACGTGGTGACTACTGAGCCCACACATGGTGACTACTGAGCCCACATGTGGCAGCTATGGAGCCCACACATGGCGAGCACTGAGCCTACACACGGCGAGCACTGAGCCCACACATGATGACTACTGAGCCCAAACACGGTGACTACTGAGCCCACATGCAGCAGCTACTGAGCCCACAGGTGGCGAACACTGAACCCACACATGATGACTACTGAGCCCACACACAGCAGCTATTGGGCTCACACGCAGCAACCACTGAGCCCACATGCCCTAGAGCCTGTGCTCTGCAACAAGAGAATCCACTGCAAATAGAAGCCCGTGCACTGCAATTGGAGGAAAGTCCGAGCAGACCCAGCACAGCCAAAAATTACTTAATGAATCAATTCTTTTTTTTTTAAGATTAGGACTAGAGCTGCTCTTTGGTTAAACAGACCCTCCCTTTGCTGTTAGGTGTCCCGTCAGCTCCTGGGTCACCTGCTGCCGGGATGTGACTTTTCACTTTCATGTCATCAGGGAGGGGCTTGCTGACTCAAGGACCATGGAAGCGGACCACTCTCCAAAGGCAAACGGGAGGACCCTGGCTGCTGAAAGGGGGGGATGGATGGAAGCAGCGAGGACTGCTGCTTCAGGCTCCTCTGGAAAGAAGCCATCTGTGATCTCTGTGCACCACCCCCCAACCCCCACCAGGCTCTCTCTGCTGCTGACCCGGAGCCTGGCTCCTCGCAAACCCAGGGCCTCAGCTGGCTGCTCCTGCTACCTCCCCACTCCAGTCGCCGCACACACATGTTGGGCTGCCGGGCTTGTCTGGGGTTTTTATTTCCAATTGATCGCTTAGAGATGAAACCTGCCTCGGCAGGAGGTAAACATTTTATTTCTATTCTGACTTCCTTAGGTGATGGAGAGCGGCAATTTGCCGGCTTGTGCCGAAGAAGGCCAAGTCTGTCTCTTGTCCTAGAGGTAATTACCACTACCTGATCCTCAGAGAGAGCGTCTGGTTGTGTCTCCATTTGGCCGAGGCTGGCTGGATGTTGTGCTTAATGCTTTCATTACTTCTGTCAACAACAGCTGGCGATGAGGAGCCATTTATCACAACTTCAGCTCTGGAAGGGGGGGTGGAAAGAGGAAGAGGGGAGACATGATCTGTTAGCAAGCCAATGACAAGCCTAATAGTTTTGTTTTTGCACGAGCTTGAAGGTAAACTTCTTCGGAGGAGCAAAATTGCAGTTATTACCTGGGAAGGGAAGGAAGTCTATTTATCTTCTAGAATGCACCAACTCTCTCCCTCAGGTATAACCTACATATATTCTGGGAGACAGGAAGGGGGTGATAAACTATCTTTCTCCCCTCTCCCACCCACAATGTTTCCTCTGAGTGAAACTTAGCAGTCACTGTCAGAATAGTAATCCTTCTTCAAGCCACTTTTGCAAAACTCTGCAGAGCACTTGCATTAACAACCTTGTATCATAAGATGGTTTGCAAATGTAATAAAAAGGAAAACAAAAACTCATACTGGGGCAATGGGATATAGCCTTATCTCATTATCCCTCGTTTATAAGATGCCTCTTCAAATACCCGCCTTATTCCAGAGTTATTCGAGCTCTGTTTCTCTCTCCCACTAGACTGTCAGCAGGGGACGTCCCTCACTTGTTTCTGTATTCCCCAACGGTCTAACTTAGCAGATGCTCAATAAATAAGTGCTTGCTGAATTTGAATTTGACCCTGGGGGAGCCTGGATGGATGAAGTTGCTGGCTGGCTCTGAATGCCTGAGGCCACTCATACATAATTCTGGGTGCCTACATCATCTTCCCACCTGACTCAGGCAGTACAGGACCTGCTTGAATTCAGCGGCTTGAAATCTATGCTAGTGGGTTTCTAAGAAACCAGGTTACAATCACATCTCTAAAAGCGCAGGAACCACAGTGATGCATGTGGGTCACATCACAAGTTCCTTTTGTGTGTGCTGACAGCACATTCTCTCAGTTAGAATGACAAGTGGATTTGTGATGCCAAATTCTGGAGCTTGAAAGAATTCAAACCAAACATCTATGTCCTCTGCATTTGCCTTGGAACAGCCACGCTAAAAAAAGATGAAATTCTTTTAATAGGTCTAAACCCAGGGCTCTATTTTGCCTTCTGTAGGTAGAGAAGAAATTTATTTGGGGGACGCGCTTTCTCCCCACATACCTCCATTCCCAATATTTCTGACTCCTCTGGCTGATACTACTTGTCAGAGAGTCAGAAATATGCAACTTTGGCAGAGAACAGAAAATTCAAGGGTTTTGGGTATTCCTCCAGTTGACAGGCCTAAAGAGAGCTACCAAAGGAAACAGAAGACCTGACCCTTTGCAAGTTTTGCTGTCTTCATGAACAGAGGCAGAGGGTGTAGTGGAAAGATTTCACAAGCTGTGAGACTACAGGCAAATTACTTTATCACTCTGAGCCTCAGTTTCCCCATTTACAGAAAGAGGGTGTGGAAGAGGAAGATATTCTCTGAATGGGGACTAGGCATGGTCCAACCATAGCCAGTGTTAAGCCTGGGTCTGTTGGCTTGTAAAGCATCTTCTCACTCTCCAGCATCAAGCTGTCCTCTGGCCAAAGACTGTCATTTGGGGAAACACTCTTTTAGATTTAGAGTGTGCCTTCAGTAATCATGGGTTTCCCTTGTGGCTTAGCTGGTAAAGAATACGTCTGCAATGCGGGACACCTGGGTTCAGTCCCTGGGTTGGGAAGATCCCCTGGAGAAGGGAAAGGCTATCCACTCTAGTGCTCTGGCCTGGAGAATTTCATGAACTGCATAGTCCATGAGGTCACAAAGAGTGGGACATGACTGAGTGACTTTCACTTCACTTTCAATAGTCAAGGTTAACAGTTCTGAGATGACTTCCTAAATATTTTTAAGAGGTCTCAACAAAGTTTCTGAGTGCTCTATTTTCCATCTTTATCTCTCCCCATGAAACGGGCTGAAAATTCTGATTCCTGAGTCTCCATTATCTGGCAAAAATTCAAGTTATGAATAAACTCATTGGTGGCTCAAGTGCCTCCAAGTGGGTGGGCTCCTTTTCAGAAAGACTCTTACCCATCTGAATTTTCCATCTCCTGCAGCCTCTAGACCGGGGGCCATTTCCTGGGCTTTTCTATCAACAGCTTCTCCCGCCTCACACTGATTAGGAAATGCAAAGTCAAAGTGAAACGAAACAGATCTATTTGCTAAGTAAGAAGGGCACCATCCAGCAAAGAGGAGAAGCAGATTAATAGCTGCCTTACAGCAAAAACAAATGAACACAAAATCTAATTTACAAACCTATTAGATTTGCTATGTAAGCTGTTCACAGCTGATCTGATTGTACCTCTGCCTCCAGAATTCCTGCAAGACAAAGGAAATGCATTATTTATAAATTCAGCTCTTTTTTGCAAAGCCCTCTTCAGTCGCCAGGAGCTCCTGCAGCCCGCCTTGGAGAAGTACAGAGGGAGGATGCATTCTCACCCCGGCTTCTCCAGAAGGGACAGCATCCTGATCTAGCCACAAACCCAAGCCTCTGATGGGAAGCTGACCTCAGGTCCTTTCCTGCCTCCCACTTGAGCATTGTTTCAATTCCCACCTGGGTTTCCACTTGAGAATTTCATCTGACTTCGAGACCGACTCCTCTGGGATTCATCCCCTCTGGTTAACCCCACAGGCTAGCATGCTTTAGCAGGACTCAGCACCTGTTGTAGCATGACTCAGCCTTTACTCTAGCCTGACTCAGTACCTGCCCTTTGTCTTTTGTTTTCACTTACCTTGATGAAAGTGAAAGAGGAGAGTGAAAAGGTTGACCTAAAAATCAACGTTCAAAAAACAAAGATCATGGCATCCGGTCCCATCATGTCATGGCAAATAGATGGGGGAATAGTGTAAATAGTGGTAGATTGTTTTCTTGGGCTCTAAAATCACTGTGGATGGTGACTTCAGCCAAGAAATTACAAAACCCTTGCCCACTGGAGGAAAAGATATGACAAAACCTATACAGTGTATTAAAAAGCAGAGACATCACTTTGCCTACAAAGGTTCGTATAGTCAAAGCTATGGTTTTTCCAGTAGTCATGTACAGATGTGAGAATTGGATCATGAAGAAGGCTGAGTGCCAAAGAACTGATGCTTTTAAACTGTGGTGTTGGATAAGACTCTTGAGTGTCCCTTGGACAGACAGCAAGGAGATCAAACCAGTCAACCCTAAAGGAAATATGCCCTGAATATTCATCAGAAGTACTGATGCTGAAGCTAAATCTCCAATACTTTGGACACCTGATGCAAAGAGCCAACTCACTGGAAAAGACCCTGATGCTGGGAAAGATTGAAGGCGGGAAGAGAAGGGGATGACAGAGGAGGAGATGGTTGGATGGCATCATCGACTCAATGGACATGAGTCTGAGCAAGCTCCGGGAGATGGTGATGGACAGGGAAGCCTGGTGTGCTTCAGTCCATGGGGTTGCAAAGAGTTGGACACGACTGAGAGACAGCCACAGCTGGTGGTGAGATGTTGTCCACCACACTGTCTCCAAACTTAAGATCTCAGAAGTTCAGCAGAGGTAGCGAGACTGACTCAACCAGTGCCTCCAACCAAATGTGAAAATGATTTGCTTTTTGGTGGCAGGAAAAATAATAGCAGTGTCATTTTGTGGGGGAGCAGGAGATGGGTGAGCATGAGTGTCCTTTGCTTCTTCCTCTGGAGGATAAGCTGTGGGAGTCAAAGGTCTCTAAAGCCCTTTCCAGTCCCCCCGTTTCTGCAGTTCTGTCAGACTTGGTCCTGGGTGGGGGCTACAGGGCCATGAAGTTTCACCCTACTTTGCCAATGGCACTGGGTCAGGAGAGAGAGAAAACTATCTGCCCTTGGTATTCAGCCCACTTTGTGCTCTGTGTGTGTTTTTATTAAAAAGTTGTATGTGAGACTGAGGCAGGAGGCAGATGGACCTCCCCCACCCAGGGCAAAGCTATTGGAGATTCATTCCCTATTGACTGAAATGCCAAGAGGAGGCTAGCAGGACAATTAAGAGAGGAGGCTGGGCCCTGCTCAGACCACTTGTCTTCCCGACCTTCCCGACCACACATGCAGAGAGAAAGCTCGTTGGAGGCCAAAGGGGAGTCATGTTAAGGGAGGTTCTACCCAGACACCTTTTTGGTAGAACTCACCTTGGCTAAGGGATGCGGACGCACACATGGGAAGATCCTGAGATATATCAAATACGGGCTGTGAACCAGGCAAATCATAATGACTGGCCAAAGGAAATCCAGAAGAAATGTTCCATAGAAGTAATTCAAATTGCCACGAGGGTGTGACTCAGCGACTCTATTCCTCTCCCTGAGTCCACCCATGTGTCTATCCACATGTACTGCAATTCTTTCTCTTCTTAATATAATACTTGACTTGCTTCACTACTTCCGTCTTTGTTGGAATTCTTTTCTGCAAAGCTGAAGGCCAGGGCCCTGGTCACTGACCACTGGTCTAGTGGCTAGGATCTGGTGCTTTCACCACCGTGAGTGAGTGAGTAATAGTTGCTCAGTCATGCCTGACTCTTTGAAACCCCATGGACTGTAGCCTGCCAGGCTCCTCTGTCAATGGAATTCTCCAGGCAAGATTACTGGAGTGGGTTGACATTTCCTTCATCACCATGACCTGGCCTCAATCTCTGGCTGGGAACCCAAGTCATTGCAGGCCAAGGCCGCCCAAGATCAAGACTAAGGGTTAAATTAAATACTTTCCCCCACTGATTTGTAGAATATGTGGTTTGAGGAGATGTTTTTCATGCTTTTTCCATTTTTTTAAGTTCCATCTAGACCTTCAGCCAAGGTGCGGGTATACTTCAAAGAAACAATTAAAATCACTGCAAAATCATTGTGATTTAATTAACATTTAGCTTAATTAATTAATTTAAAGAACTCTGTGGGGGAAGCCAATGCCTATTTCCTCACTAGTTTTAAGTTTGAAACCAGAAGTCCTAACTTTCTTTACGATTCACATACTTGTAGATATAACATTGTGTGTGTGTGTGTGTATGTGAGTGCGTGTGTGTTTATGTTTTCCTGACAGATTGAAATGTCTTTTCAACACTTTTTGCAATAAGAATCATTCTGCCTCATAGCCCGATGAGCCGGCAGCAGGAAGGGTGCTATGACTCATCCTGTGCCCCCTTCCAGGCCTCCCTTCAGGTCTCAGATTTCATCACACACAGTCTAATTTTTAATTGCACAGAGTATCACGGGTTCCTTACGTTGCAATCAATGCGTAATATCTCTTTCTCGTCTCTCTTCATTTCCCCTTGGGATGGCAGATCACTCACACTTCTAATTCAAAGATCTGGGACTACCTGGCCAGCTCCGACCTGTAACTATCATCTATTATACTTAGGTCAGAGCCCAGGGGCTCTCCTGGGCATGCTGCTGTCCACAAGTCACTGACCTTTCACCGTGCCCTGACCCTGACACCAACCCCTGTTTTCAAAATCAGCACTCCTTGTCGGGAGGGAACACTTGCTGGGCCAGATATTAAGGCAAGTATAGTAATTAAAAGTGTGGTCATAGCTCGAGATTAATGAAAAGTTAATGGAACAAAAAGATTGTCTAGAACTGATGTATTATTTTTTTTAAATTACATCAATGAGAAATTTGATAAATGTTTGAAGTAGTTGATTAATAATCTGGAGGTGAGTTGGAGGGAAATCAGGTTAAGTGTTCCCTGATTTATAAATTTCAAGTGGATTTAACTAGTGTTTCTCAGACCCTAATAATGCTTCTATTCCTATCAGCAGTTTGCCATATTTTGTTTATCACCCATTCTACTATCTACTTAAGTTTTTAAATTGACTCATCTTTTTAAAACTTCTTAACCTAAGCAACGCCATCAGTGAAAATATGGGTTTCATATCATGAATATATACTCATTTGAAAAGAACACAAAACCATTACCCCCAAAAATATTTATCAATGGAATTCCTAAAATCATCTTACATTATCGCCAAGAACTCTTGTAGCACCTCTGGAAAAGACTGAATTAAACAGTTAAATATTGAAAGAAGGCAACCCATATGAAATTGGTATGAAGATGGAAGAGAATATTTATCAAATCTTGATGAGGTATGAGGAGCAAATGTGAAGGACTTCTAAAATTCAGAAGTGTAAGAAGAAACCCTAAGAGGGAATGCAGACAGATTTGACTTCATAAAAATTTAAAATTCTGCTTATACAAACAGCAAAGCTCAACAAACTCTCTCCAGGTTCCTTCCTGGAATATGAGGGCTCCAGGTGAGGGGAATCCTGTACTGGGGTATCTATCTGGTTTACTGTAACCAGGGGTTTGGAGAGGATGTGACGCTGAGTACAACTGCCTCCTCCCATCTTTCTCTTCTCTTGCCTCCAGGCCGGGTCCTGAGGAGCACTCAGGCCTGCTGACGGGGTACCACAAGCCAGGCACTTTTTCAGACTAAGAAAGTAAATGAAAGTCGCTCAGTTGTATCCGACTCTTTGCGACCCCATGGAATGTACAGTCCCTGGAATTCTCCAGGCCAGAATACTGGAGTGGGCAGCCTTTCCCTTCTCTGGGGTTTCATACTAAAACTTCCTCTAACCCTGGCTTTCCCCCGCCTCAGCACTATTGATGTTTCAGGGTTGGTGTTGGTTGTCGGGGCAGGTAATTGTGCGCTGTGGTATGCTGAGCTGCATCCCTGGCCTCTAGCTGCTTTAAGGCAGGAGCAGCCCTCCCCACACCCCGCAAACAGTGACAACCAAAACTGCCTCCAGACCACGCCCCTGGGCAGGGAGGCAGAATTACCTCTGCTCCAACTCTCGTCTTCCACCTGTGTCTCTGAGATGAATCCCCGCCCCTGCTCTCCCTCACCAGCCAACCTGTTCCACCACTTTCTCAAGCCCGAGTCCATGCCAAACTCCAAGCCCAACACTCGAGCTCCTGCTCAAAACCCAAATTTCAACGCTCAGCCGCCTTTTCCTTCTCCTCCCAAAGCGTCGCACTACAGCATTTGTAGCCTTTTTCATATTTAATTATTGCATGGGATCACAGATGGGAGACTTGAAAGAAATGTTGTCATTTACCTAGTCTAAATTCCTCTTATAGTTGAAGGAACCGAGGTCTCGAGATTTGGTTCTGGTTTCAGCTTCCTTGGCTGCTCACCACAGTAGAATGGAAGCCCCTGGGGGCGTGCACTAACCATGTCTTTTATTTTCTTTATCTGATACTTTGACATCTGCGGGCTTGCTGACTTTGGAGGGACAGCTTCTCTCAGGGTTAGTAAATTCCTAGAGACAGTAAACCACTGGCCTGGGCGGGCACCTTTCAAATGCAAACCAACCAATCTAGAGCCCACCCCCTCCCCTGC